TAGTCTTAAATTGTGATTAATTCTTTGATTGACACAACTACTATTAAGGGTATCAGAGAGGGGCCAGAGGTGAAGCCAGACGGGACCACTTAAAATGTAAGGGTGGTTCGATAGTCTTTTTTTCGTTGGATATTTTTTATTGGGTAACAGAACAGAGAATTTTTTAGTTTCTTTCCTTTATTCAAAGGGGGCTAAGAGAAAAATTCTGACTACTGAGGGGGTCTGGGAAGGTTGGTGACTGAATTGGGTCTTACGACGATACAATATAAGATGTGTGTACATACATTTATCTGTATTAAGGTTGCCCCCCCCCCCCAAAATAATATGAAATTCCGTTGTTTTCTTCCTTGTTTCGTCTTATTTGAGATGCTACCTACTACTATGCCCATAATGCCCTTACAGCTATCCCACAGACCACCCACACAACATGTGTAATATCCCCCATGCCCTGACTACTACCTTTGCACAGCTCCCCTCACAAATTTAGTGTCCCCTTACAGAAACTCACAGTATTTTCAGAAAACGTTATGATTTCGATTTTAACGAAAATATTTTACAGAAGGGTTCGTATGGGATATTTGCCCACCTTATAGCCCTTATACACATTCTCCCACAAAAACTTAGAATATATTGGCGGTAAGTGCGTAGTGGCTCACTTTGCTAGGTCTTGGGTCAGTACGCGGGAGAGGGTGGTTTATTTTTTGGTCTGTGCGACTTTTTCGGGCGAGTACCTCTGAAAATTTTCATATGTACTTTTTCACCAAGCAATACTCCTGAAGAAGAAGCATTGCAGTACTCACTAGTAGAGCTCTCATTAAGAGCCAGATGTGTTGCACTATAATTGAAAAAAAAAGAAAATCCATTGTACAAATACTTCATCGTAAGGTCAATATAAATAACTCACCCCAACAACTCCGCAAAGCCACTCAAAGTTAACTTTTTTTTTGTAAGATTACTTCATGGCACATGTAAGAGAGGCTGATTCCCCTACCACCCCCGCTCCCCCATAAAAAAATTAAAATTTGTCTCAGATACCTGCTATTTTTAGATTTTTCGACACCTCACCAACATTGTACAATAACTTCAATTTGTGTTTCTTTTGTTTCATTAGTTTCTGCCTCAATAACAGAAAATTTAATTTAAAAAAAAGCTTTATAAATAATAGTTGCTTATGAGGTTGATAGTCTTACTGATGTATTGTATTATACTATGTTTTAATCTGTCTATATTTAATATTTATCTTGGTGTACAAGTACTACTTATATAAGTCTTTTTTATCAAAAATTTTTTTACCTTTTTGGTAACACTTTCACGATACCCTCTCCACGCTTTTTTTCGGAATGAACCCCTCTGACTAATTACATTAGTTACTATTAGCTGTCTTCTTATATTACAAGAATAAAATTTAAAGAATAATGGTGAGTTTTAAAAAAATTTCATGTGTCACGGACAATTTTATTTAGTGTTATGAGGATGCAAAGCTAAAAATAATATATGCACATTAATTAACAATGACAATAATAATAAAGTGTGTATTGTTGTGTAGAAAGACAGTTTCATTGAAAATGTACCAAGTAAGTATTCGTTGTTGGTTAGTATTTAATACCTTAACTGTCAAACAAAATTTTTACAAAACATTATTTAAAGTATTTTAATCTTCGACTATTTTTTAGGACTAATGAAGACAATATTGAAATAGTGTTTTTATTCACTCTTAACTCATATGGATAATATACATATTTGTGCTTAGATCAGCGTAAAAGTTGTGCATTATGTCACTAGGACGCAAAGTACAAACATGAGTGTCCGAAGGGCATTGTTGCTGTACGTTAGTGTACGTTGTGTTTAATATTTTTTTTACCGAAGGCGCAAAGTACAATTTTACGCCCATGGGCACACTCTGCACCCAGTTAACTATTCTCGGCCTTAAGGCAGAGGAGTACTTTGGGGCTAGAGGGTACAAAAAACTTTTCTACCGCAAAGTCCAAACTGATAACCAGGTTGCAAAGTGTTGCCTAAGGGCGCAATAAGGCAGTTGCATTTGATCATAACGGCAAGAAAAAAAGACAAAATTAATATTATTATAAAACTTGAGAGACTTTTTTAGAATTAAGAGAAACAAAATGTATTAGAATAATTTGAATAAAAATTAAAAAATACTTCGTATAAGGAGAAGGCAGTGGAGTAGTAGAGGAAATCATCCAACTGCTGTTATAATCACCATTTGCATATTGTCATAATATTTTTGTTTCAAATATTTTATAAAAAATAAAGTAAATTTAATTTTCCTTTTTTCTGTGTTCAATGGAGAACATAAATAATTATGTATAATACGACTACTCAGGCTTATAGAATTTCACAAGTGTGCAAAAATGCAGCGGCTCGATAGAGCATGCCGGATTGGGGAGCGGGCTGGACTCGGGAGAATAACTTGCAACAACATCACTTTATTTCGATACACAAGAATAGGTTTATTTCATTAAAAGATAATCTTTTTTAAGCTAAATTACTTACACAGTACAAAGGAGAAAAGAGGAGATTTGTGATAGAAAAAAAAAAAAAAAACAAATTAGGCAAGAACAACGGAAAAACTCTTTTTCTTGTTGACGACACTCTGCTCTCTCCCGACTCCTCTTCTTCCCTCTCAATTAGCTTCTTTGATTCGTCCACCAGCTCTTCTTCTGGCGCTGATATCGCCGCTTCTCCGCACCTAATTTGACAACATTTCCGGCTGCTGTTCAGATTTTTGTTGCATAATTTTCAAAGGTATTAAGCTTTAATATTTACACACGCTTATTAAAAGTTTGGTCTAGAACCAACATTATGTAATTGACATTGAAATTACATATTTGATCAACACAACAAGTATAGCTGCTAGGTATACCTAAAAATTTTTTACAACAAAAGACGGAAAATATATGTTTAGGGAGTTTTATGTAAGTTTTCTTGTGCCTTCGAAGACTATGATTATTGTATAGATAGATAAAAATATCAATCAGAACAGCTTAATAATTTCTGACAAAAAAAAAAAAAAAACTAAAAATTGATAAAAATTATGTATAAGAATTTTTTCTCTCTTACTTTGGATGTTAATAATTTCTTGGGAGTTTTAAATGTAAGAATTATACTCATATCCTGAGAAATTATTTTATTATTATGAAATTTCGAAATGGCCATGCTAACGATAAGTATCAGCTTATGAAATTATTTAATACAATTAGAATTAAAAAAATGTATTTTGATGTATAGGGAAAAGAGGGTTTGTTAATATTATTTATAAATTTCAATAAAACATAAATAAAAAGAAAATAAACTAGAATGATGAATCGCGTTAAAAAAAGAAATTTGCTGACAGTTGGAATCGATCCTCAGATAGCAAAACAAGAGCAGTAGTGGCATAAGCCCTTACTGCCTTAGCTATCGAAACTTCGAGGGAAGGCGATCTTAAAGTCACATATGTTCATCGATAACCTTCGGAGCTTGTCCTACAGTTTTCAACAATTATGATGAGGAAAAATAATTAATTAGTGGTTATAGCTTAACTGCCATCCTTAAAAGAATTAGCTGAACATTTTTTAAAAATAAGACTAGATTTTAAATTAAGTATTAGCGTACGGAAAAAAAAAAGTTTGGATATCAAATTCTGTGCATATAATTATGAGCATTTAGTTTTACGATTTAATCAAATGTAAGATTGATAGATAACATTCAAGCAAGAGCGAGAGAGCAAGAGTCAAATAAAAATATATATAGCATATACTCGGTTACAGTCAAAAGAGAAAAACTCATGTCGTCGCTTGCTTTGGCTGTGCGCTCAGATATATAGCTATAGTCAACATTTCCACTCCTCTTCTCGTAGGCGCACATTCGGTATACCCCTTCTACGTGTCGCCAAAATGTGGGCCTATATGCTCATTTCTACGCGAATCCACTTCTCTTCTTGTAGGCGCACGCTCTTCGATACGAGTCTCGCACTCTCGAAAAATGTGCACCTTGCTTCTACAGCTGGCTGCGGCGGGTCGCCCCGATCAGTGGAAAAAAGTTGTCTCACGCCGTAGCATTGGCGTTAGCAATCTCTCTACTTATCTCTGTTCTCAGCCACTGAATCCCAACTGTGCTTGGCCTCCTCCATCAATTTTCGAAGCTCGTGATCTGCTCCATGGAAGTTCGTCCCATTATCACTCCAGATCTCGTTTGGTTTTCCTCGCTGGCCGACAAAATGAGATAGAGTGCCGAGGAAGCTCACTGTGGTGAGATCACCGACTAGCTCCAAGTGAATGGCTTTCGTGCAGAGGCAGACGAAAATGGCGACATAGCCCTTTGAAGAGGAAATGCCTCGCCTCTTCGATCGGAGAATCTGATACAGCCCAGCGTAGTCAACACCAGTCTTACTGAATGGCCGAGGCAGTGGCATCACGTGAGCAGCCGGCAAAGAGCCCATAAATTGACTTATGGGTCGAGCCATAGATCTGGCACACAGGACGCATTTGCAGACGCACTTCTTCATCATGGCGTCACCACGAATGATCCACGCTCAGCGCATGACGTGACCATAGGTAGAACGGAAGCCGCCATGTAGTGCTTGGAGATGAGCCCATTCCACGACAAGGCGCGAGAGATGACATGCACAGTCGAGTATCGGAGTGTGCTTCTCGTCAAAGGGCAAGGAAGAGTGTCAGAGACGGCCACCGACACGAAACACATCGTTGTCGTCAAGAAATGCGTCCAGACGATTAAGAGGGCTTGACAGTGTAATCGGTTTCCTTTTCTTCTGGGTGTTGATCTCGGCGGCAAAGTAGTGAGCTTGGCTGGATCTCGCACAGTCCAAAAATGCATTCTGTAACTTGTGAGCTCTAATCAGATCCCGATAGGCCAGCAGAAACTTGTCCCATTGCTTTGAGCAAAGGGGTTTTGGAGATCTTACTCGGCTCTTGACTAAGAGCGCAAAGCGACGGCGTCTAACGAGAACCCGCAGAAGGCGGCACAAGCTCGAAAACTTCTCAAAGGGCGCGCAGTGCGCTTCCAGTATAGTTGAACAAACGGTAACTTGATAAGCTTTTTTCGTAGTCGGTTGAGACAGTGGAAGGTTTTCGCTGATCGAGCGGAGCCAGCCACGAATCAGAGGGGAACGCCAGCCAGGGCGGGCCATGCCACCAGAGCAAGTTCCGCTGAAGCTCAATAGGTGAAGCGCCTCTGGTTGCGATATTGGCTGGATTCTCGCCAGTGGGCACGTAACGCCATGCCTTACGGGAAGTGAGATCTTGAATGTGTTCGATGTAGTTGTCAACTAGACTGTTGCTGACCGGTTTGTCTGAGCCCAGCCAGTCCACCACGGTGCTGGAGTCACTCCATAGAAAATGCCGATCGCTTGGCACGTCTAAGCCAGTAGCTACCGTCCCGAGCAATTTCGCGGCTAGTAAAGTGGCTCTCAACTCCAAGCGTGGGATGGTCATCCTGGCCCTCGAATGTTCGGCTGGAACCAAGCTCTTGATGGGAGTAAGCTTGGTTTTGGCGCTGATAAGGCTCACAACAGGTTTGTTTACACCAAATAGAATAGAGAGGAAAAAAGAGCTTCAGAAAAATGTTAACAGTTTAGTTTCCATGAAAAAAGTTACCAAAGGGGACGGCTAATAGTAACTGATGTAATCGGCAGCGGGATTCGTTAAAAAAGAATTTTGGGGTACGGAATTCTTCTTTTTCGGCAGAATGTGGTCAAGGGCCAAATAAATTTAGTGCAGGGTGTGGACAACCCCACCATAAGAACTTATATACATACAATAGTAGGACTCCACCTTCTTCACGCTTTACGTGATCAACCCCACAATCATTTATTATTTAATGGTTTTTGAGTGGCAAAAAATGTATGAAGATAAAATTTATATAAAAAAAATACGAGGTAAGTTTTTCTCAGAATACCTGCAATAAGAAAAAAAAGAAAAAATCAGCACGGATCTCTTATGTATGTAATTTTGTAGATCCTTATTTTTTTCCTTAATATTACACAAAGCAGTTTTCAATCCTTTCCTCCTTTCACATAAAATAATATCAGTATAAAGAACATCAGTATAAAGAATTTATTCCTTGTTAATAAAATTTTGATGGTGATTAGCTAACAGTTTTCAAATGATCCTGCTAGATGAAGTTTTACGTACATATATTTCTTTTTTTAATCTTTTAAAGAAAAGACTGTTCTAGTTTAATCATACTTAACTAAAAATAGAAGAATTAATGTAATTCTTTACTCTACGTGGTTACATCGAACAGCACAACAAGTATTCATTAAATCAATTGGCTTTTAATGACAGTTGATTCATGAAAATAAGCCATTCTAATAGAATATTAGTTCTGCAGTGAGCGCGTGGTGGCTCAGTCAGCTAGGTCGTGGATTGGCACGCGGGAGACCATGGTTCGATTCCCGGCCAGTACGACTTATTCGGGCAAGTACCTCTGTGTATTTTCACGTGTGCTTTTTCACCACGCAATGCTCCTCAAAGAGAGTTTAGGTGACCTCCTCGCAGCATAATTGCCTAATTTCCCTCCACCCTCTCCCAGTAATGGGAGGCCTCCCATCCCTCTTCCCTTTTTTCTCCCAAATGCTAAGTGCCCTCAGTAGTGCCCTTTATAGGAGCCGGACGTAAAGCACTATAATATGAAAAAAAAACGTACTTTATGCTTTGAATAGATNGTATGCACAAAGTCTATTTGTATGCATCCTGTGAGTGTAGAAAAATATACAAACATTTTTAAGTATGTATCAGTTTAGTGTAGGGTGGTGAATTATTTTAATAAATAGTAAAATTATTTAAAACAACATTTGACAACGTCCACTTACATTTACCATCTTACTTATACATATCTTTGTTACCAGCAAATAATTTCTATAAACATACCTACATGCTCATATTTGTTACTTACATGTCTCCTATAAGTAGAAAAATATACAAACATTTTTAAGTATGTATCAGTTTAGTGTAGGGTGGTGAATTATTTTAATAAATAGTAAAATTATTTAAAACAACATTTGACAACGTCCACTTACATTTACCATCTTACTTATACATATCTTTGTTACCAGCAAATAATTTCTATAAACATACCTACATGCTCATATTTGTTACTTACATGTCTCCTATAAAGATAAAAATAAATTAAGCATATAATTATTCTAAGTAATTCACTGAGATAATTACTTACACGTAATAACAATAAATAGAATTTTGGTAAGACTGTTCAATTAAAAACTTCAGCGTCTGCTTATCCAAGTTTTTTGTGATGCTGCTTCCTTCTCTTAAGTAAACTGCTGACCTAAACTGAGAGAACAGTCGAACCAATACTTAAGAGAGCCGCTAGAAGTTTTTGGTAAGCGTTACTTCCAACTTTTTCCCCATGTTATAACTTCTAACTTTTTGAGATGGGAAGGGATCACTTTACACAATATTGCATCAAGATTCTGCTGCTTATTTTTTACCATACCTTGAGATCTTTGATGGTAACCACAGCAGAGTAGCAAGTATTGTTATAATCAACTAAGTAGAAATCTTTTGACTTGCCTTTCTTAACTTCTCATTAGCTTGTCTCATAGTTAATATGATTTTTAAATCGTTACAAGATATCGATGCCCAGTATAACATCGTATTTTAGTTTGCCTACGAATCTCAACAGTACAAATTCTCTTACCTTTTAGATTTTTAAGTTAACTCTTTATGTATCTTGTACGAAAGAGGTGCATAATTAGATGTAGATATAGTTGTCTCCGAATAGTTGAGTTTTAATAACTTTGTGAAAAAATTATTTTCAACATAATAGTGCGCTATCTTGCAATTTGTAATAGTAGATACCTTTATGCTGCTTGCATACAGGCAAAGTATACAGGTACTCCTTAATACTTTGGGGACGACTATCCAACAATGTACCATCGAAAGTATTATTTTCTTCGTTTGAGTCATATACCTAATGAACAGTTCTCTTGTTTCTTTTCCTAACAACGGCAAAAAAGCTGGCTCCTTCTATATTGAGAATACTTTTGTATGACTAGAACACTCACTGTAAAGAATGCAAGAATATACTTGACACATAATAATTTACAGTAACGATTTGTACTAGCTACAGTAAAAAGTAGCGTTACTTTAGCCGATACATGTGGAGTCAAGCGATCAGCTTCAGAGCTTGCAATAGCTCCTGTTCCTTTCCTTTCTCCAAGTTTCCTGGCCCTGGTATTTTGCACTTAACGGCATCTTGATTTCTGAAGTCACATTCTATAGGTGCGTTCTGCACTATCTAGTAAGCCAGTGGTCTTAGAGTAGTTACCTTGAAAAAACATGTAATAGAAGATAATTTTTCATGTAAGTTTTCCATTGCCCCACCACATCATGATCTGTTCTGTTCTACCCCACGACTTCACAGTCATAAGATCACTACGTTATACCACCTTAAGCTCTGGGTCTAAAGCGTGTTAAAAAACGCTTTCGACGAGAATCGAGCTAGCAATTTTTTGCATGCAAGCTAAGTATCTTACTTACTTTGCCATGAGCGATTTTGATAATACAAGACCTCTTACTTTTTCTCTTATACTCTGGTTTGTAACTCACTTTTAATGTTAATATTTATTGACTTACTATTTATTCAATTAATTTGATTATAAATTATATTTGTAGCTCAGCCATTTACTATATATAATTATTTTCTCTTAAACTTTACAAATCTTTTAAATAGAAACAATTATTCTAGATATTAAGGAATATTTATGTAATGTTTCTCGTAACGTAGAGTTTTTTAACTAAGAATGACTTCTACAATTTTTTTCAAAACTTTTTCAAAGTTTTTTTCCTACTTAACATTTATTTCCACAAGATCTAAGAATGAATTACTACGTTTTTGAAGCATCTTGTTCTTTCCAATTTTCTTGATTTCTGAGAGAAGTGATTGTTAAGCTTTATTTACAGGCATATAGTACTATCCTGTTCAAGATAGGGTTCTACTGTAGAAATTACGTACTTTCCATAAAAATGAAAAATTTATATTATTCACTTTGGCTATCATAAGCTAACCTTATTACTAGTATAAACTAAAGGAATGTACGAACCGGGTTGAAAGCTATGTATAGTTATTGTGAACCGTTCCCATTTAACATTATTTTTTAGTTTATAATTGTTAATTATGTATAAATTATCATTACGTTTGGAACAGTTTTATTGACCAAATGGCATTAATTTCTTTTATTAAGCTTACAATTTCAAAAACATTTATTATTACAAGTTTTTGAATATTTTGCAGGACTTGATTTAGATACTTATTGTGGAGTCGTATGTAGAACTAATTGCAAGAATAAGTGTGTCAACGTATACGACAGATGTGAGCGTGACAAAAGAGATGTTATAAAAGTACTCGATTGTTTGAAAATAAGTTACAGAGTCGATAAATGTTGATCCTCTCACACTGACCAGCCTTGTAGCTCGTCATGCCGTGGTTACACTTTGTACTTTTCTTTTCTACGTAATCTATTATTAATAATTATTTACTTCATAAATGTAAGAATATTTTTTTCACTTCGGGTGTTTTTGAGGGGGTGGTGTGACCTTAGTAGGAAAAAAAGGGTTCGCATCAGGTGCGCATGCAACCAGAGCAAGCACAAGGTGCCCCTTGGGCCCTGCTTTGCAGGTCCCTCAAGCTTGGTGCTTGCCCTCAAGACATGTGCCACCAGGTACGAAAACTACTACAATAAAACTGCCCCCAATTGATGGTTATATATTAATTATAACAATAACTGTACCACCTGCGTACATAATATCGTTTCGTAGAACGTATATTCATATTCATATATTGTCTGCCATAGAATGTCATAGAAGTATGACGTTACACTTAGGCACTATATCACTGGATACTGATTTTATACCTAATTTTCCTAGCCTTTTTGGATGATTGGCTTCGGGGCACTCGTTGACAATAATTATAAAGCTTTATTATTATTAAAACATTGAAGTAAGGAAATCAGTAATCCATTGAGGGTGACATTCAAGAAATCATAATAACTGTAGTATTTGTACTCCTTGGTTTAATACAGCAACGTTTCAAAAACCATTTTTGTCAGCCGCAGTAGGGTAGAAGAGCTTTCAACATGGTTACATACGCACCACAATACAGTGTATAAAATGATCCACAGTTATTTCAGATACGCGAGGGTTCGTAAGTATTACCGCTTACTTATTACTGTCCAAACAATACCATAAGTTACATGATAAGATTTAGTGGAGCTTATAAAGCTATCATTACAAAGGTAGACAGCTGAGTGTGTTACCCTCACTCAAGACATTTAAACTTTTGTAATAACAAAAGGTATAGTGTAATAATTTAATTTCTTAGATTTTACCATAATCAGAAATTCAAAACATTTTACTTTTTACTGGCTCGAAAAACGTACTTCTTCAGGACGTATTTAAAATTTTTTTTCCCGATC